ATTCACCATAAGTTGCCAGACTCCTTTAATACTGCATTGCCCTGAAAAGGCTTTAGGAAATAATAAGAAAAAAAGCAGACACCACTAAGATAAGCGAGTGGCTACTGAGTGTGTGTTCCCATAATGTGGATGACCCACACGAAGCATCACCACCGTGATTTCCCCAAGTGGTGGCATCTTTGGGCACCACTGAACGCAAGAACCGAGAGACCAAACCCTTTTGCATTTCAAATTTACAACTGAAAGTTACTGGACAGTTTGACTTTTCCCTCATGGTTCCACACGTACCTTCACTCCTCCAGCTGCAAAACGGGAACCAAAGCCACCTGACATAACAGAGGTGGTGTGAAAAAGAATTAATGTTCATGATGTGCCAGACACTAACTGAGAAAATCAAAAATCTGCCAGGATGAAATGTAATCTCATTTTAGGAAATGTTGAAATCATTCCTGCAGAAGGTTAAAAAAATAATAATCAGGCTGAGTCAGATACACAGCATGGAAAATTTCGTCCCAAATGTTTATAGTTTAGCAATTGAAAGCAAGGCCTTATAATGCCGTGTTGGGTACACTTAACTAATCTGCAAAAATTCCAGTTCTACTTATAACAACAGCAACAGAATCAAAGCCGTACGGATTAAAAGCAAATGCCACAGCAATATTCGTACGGAGACAAGTGCTATCATAGCATTAAAAATAATATTAAAAACTGGCATGTATACAGAGTACCCAAGGAACTTGGATGTTTTCCGGACAGTAATTCATCACATCTCACAATATTCCTGCAAAATATATAGCGCGCGTTCTTCAGACAGATAAATAGGAAGGCACATTTGAGCACAAAGGCGTTAAACAACTTGCCAAGAGCGTGCCGCAGATCGGCGGCCGAGCCGGGCTCCCCAGGAACCCCAGGCACGAGCCCTGCCTCCCGGCACGGCGGGCAGCCCATGCCACCCCAGCCCCCCAGTACTGCACTGGCACCGGCACCGCTCAGTCACTCCAACTGTGAGAAAACGCCACCTTCTCTGAAATAACAATGCTGAGAGGAAAATTATGACTTGGAGATTTTTAAAAGGAAAAGGGAAGAAAAACTAGAGGGGAAAATATTTATTTTGCGATACAAGTGCCAGTCTCTGGCAAACACACACGCCAACCCTCCCAAAAGCACGTCAGGCAAGTGGTCGTGTAAGAGCACAACCCGAAGCAGTGCAGCACTGATCGAAAGTAGACAACGGGGAGGAAAGTAAGAGTAAGTCGTTCTATCTGCTTTTCATTTTGTGTTTAGCAATGGAAAGAGAAAATAAACACAAGCAAATATTTTGTCTTCACATACTAGATCAATGACCAACTCCTACAACTATTAAGAGATCTACGTTCAGTGACCTTACGTCCTTTTAGAGAGTCTCAAAGCAATATCAGAAATTAAATACTGTCTTCTAGTTAGTAGTGTAGGAACTTTTTCAATAGGATATATAAAAACACTACTGTGAACACCAGAAATATTACATGTGGAGGGGAGGAGTACACAAACTAGCCGTGCAACAAAATAAGAAAAGTGCTTTTGATCTTTTCTATTCCCATTTTTACTACATTCAACAAACTGGGTTAAATCAGCTTTGTAAACCCCAGGGAAAGTTTTCTCCGGCAGCAAGTCTCTCCCTACCAACACACACCCTCCACTGTGACTGCCTGTCCGGCGGAGGGCGGCCGGTGACCAAAAGCGTTCACAACGCTTCACCTTGTGCGGCGTGCCAGGTTACATTCAGGGTGGTTAGAGCACTTTGAAGCAACAGAAACCTAAATATTCCTGGTAGGCAAACCGAGGAGAGGAACTGAATTATAATGAACCAGCAGCTGTCACAATATGACCACAGTAACCAAATCAAAATATCAACCACTAACCCAGATGAGATTCAAAGGTCACCACATAAGCCAGCAGCTTTCTTCAGCAGCGCCTGAAACCTCAATCTAATCCTTGCAGTGAAATGCTCCATTAAGCTACAGGGGGCTCAGGAGCAAGTTACTGTACATTGGTAAATGATTTAATGTGCTAGCAAGATATCCCGAGTAGTAGGATAAGAAACGTTCCCAAAGAGCACAACTGGAAGCGGGAGAAGCGGTGAGAAGCGACAGCCGATGCGTCATACCCATCCCAGCTATCTGCCCATGCACATTTCATTGCCGGGCCAAATAATTACTCTTCAGATACTCTTAAGAAAACACAAAATACCTAGCAGGGTAGTGGGCCTCCAGACATGCACAAAGCAAGCTGTGTTTGAATACACGCGAGCAGCAGTTTGAGGAGCTGAGTAATGCATGCAGCTCTGCGACTTCTCTCAGCTCCTCCCTACAGGGCTTGCTCCAAAGCCTAATGCACAGGCTCCCTGCTAGACACTGGACACGTAAAAATGTGTTTTAAAAACAAATATCTGAAAAATAAAATACAATATAAGCCCTCATTTAAGCACAGCCTGTCAGCAAACAGTTGCGGTTCACAGGTATGGGGTCAGTAATACCTATCCCCAGTAACAACAAAGCCTTTCTGCCTGGAAAACCACCTCAAATCAGGAGCAACTCCATTCAAGTCAACAGTATACACCAGTATAAAACCAGTTCAAGGTGGATGATCATCAGGCTCTTTATCAGTTGCCAAGAGAAAGAGGAGCATGGAAAGAAAGCTACAGTGTGGCTCTGTAGGTGCCAGCTGCGTAACACCAGAGTTTACGGGGACCTTTCCTTGGGGGAGTTCAAAGACCTGCCAGGAAAAGGGAAATGATAAAATACATCTGGAGTTACAGGAGCCGGGAGCTGGCAGTCCGGGCGGCCTCCGTCCAAGTGAACAGCACTGCGCATTGTTCATCACCACAATACTTAGATTTCTCCTAAAATCACAAATAGAGACGTGACCAGCGCAGACTGACAGCGGTCTTCGTTAGGGCGATGCCTCACACACGCAGTCCTCCACAGCGGCGTTCGCAACCGCAGCGCCTGTCCCGCTGCCGGTGAAGGGCTTCCATTCCCACACGGCACAGAAACAGACCTCCCGGCCAAGGCCCTCAGAGGTGTTTGAGCGGGAGGGAAACGTGCACGCATCCCAGCGGCTATCCCTTCTCCTCCAGCACCAACGCCCTGCGCCCAGGAGCGGAGCAGAACTGGGGAGCGAAGGGCTGCCCCAACAGGACAAGTTAAGAAGAGTCCACTCTAGTTATCAGAGAATTATGCTAAAGCACGGTTGCAAAATGCCGTGGGTTGCGGGAGGCAGCTGACGGCCCCAGCAGCACACACACGTTAGTGCGCAATAGCACACTTGTCAAAAGCCGTTAGTTGCTTGCACACGCATTAATCCGTGTGTGCAGGAACGTCACCGGTCTTATTTCCAGTTGAAGTTACCAAATCTCATAAAAACCGAAAAGTGTCAGGGCACTTCAGGACCACGCGCTGTGAGGACGCTGCCACACTGCCCGGCTCACGCCCACGGCTGGAGCAGACACCTCCAGTTCAGGTCTGCAGAGCCACGACTGGGTCAGCAGGGGCTGTGCAAACCCCTCTGATGGTGACAAGCGGGACCTTCTAGAAACATCAGGGTTTCCAAAGTTCCAAATCAGAGTTTTACGTGGTTTAATTCTTTAACTGGGTGCCTCCAAACATGCTTTTATAAAACAACTATTTCTTAAACCAAGTGAAACCAGTATTTTCACTAAGATTGGCAAAAAAAAAATCAGAAGCAGGAGATTTTTCTGTAACCCAAGGGCAGGCAGGAGAGAGAGAGAGACTTTTAAGTTCTAAAGACTCAAATTAAAGGTTAAACTTGAAAGCACCATGCAGCCCAGTGGGTTTCACAGAAGTGTGTGGCTACTTGCGAAGTGTCTCTGCGCACTACCTAAGCCCCATGGCGTGAGTTAAGAAGGGAGTGTTGAAATTTCCATGCTTTTTTTGGCTTATACTAGACCCTTTAAAACTGTTGTAACCATGTTTTGTACGTGAATACATCGAAATGACTACAAGCTCCAACATTGTCCCATATGTTAAACAACTCACATATTTCCCAATATTAAAAGACAAGGCATATTTTAGGGACTTATATTAGAGCTGAAGAATGATATATCACAGTTACAGGTCCATGTTTTTTTTGGCTTGCATTCAATCCTTTAAAGCAAAGCATTTGGTTAGTTCATTGACAACTGCAGAAGAAGGGTGTGATCTTGGCCAAGCGTAAGCATTACTAATATTTTTACATCATTTATTTACTTTAACCAAACTCATTTATCAACCATAATTAAAGAAAGTAGCTATCATTCACTTACAAATAATTATAGCCTCTCTGCATACTGCTACGGTGTTTGCTGCTAAGCTAAATGATTATTCAGGGGTGTCAAAACTTTCTATCATGGGGTGTGGGGTGGGAGGAGGGTCCTTGCCAAACGCCCCGGGCAAAATCTCACTCCTCTAAAGCAGAATAGACTGCAACTACCCTCGCCTGAAATCCAGGAGTTTGCAGCTCACAGGTCCCAGCAGGCAGCGATCCATCATGCTCCAAAACAAACAAAGGCTCAGTGTCCCTCACCAGTTATTTATCTGTTCCCTTTTGTGAACATATATTTATCATATTTTCAGAAATGCTTTTCTACTTTAAAAGTCCTGTTCAGAGCACGTCCTTATTTTCTCTGCCAACTGGTCACGTCTTTGAGAAGGAAAGGCTGAGCCTGAGGAAACAACCATTTCCCTCTTTCAGCAAATATTGCAGTTACTGCATCAAAAGTCATATCCCTCTCACAGCAAGAAAACACAGCCTGTTCAATAAACATCATCGGTGTACTTTTTTGAAATTGCATGATAGCTTAAAAAATAAAAAAAAATAAAAAAATCCATGTTCCCACCCGTATGCCGAGTACAATCAACCCCAAAAATGAGGATGAGGGATTTAAGCCCTCAGAATTTTATTTCTGGTTCGCTTATTCCACTTGCAACAACACGGTCAAGTTAGGAAATTTGATTTCTTACTTTGTATTCTGGAATTGACAAAGGGAGGAGAGAGATTGTCATGCGACCCAAGGTCTCTGCTCGCCATATGATCATAGTGAGTCCCATCTCCATAGTTCTGTTAACAAATCAGGAAAAAACACAATTTTACAAGTTTAAACGGCATTTTTCAAAACCTACACATCCATATTTCCCTCCTAAGTTTTAAGCCACCAATAAGAAATATTGTTCCCTTTGTTTTCCCCTATTGATTCTGCTGGAAGTGATGTGTTCCAGAACATTTTTAAAGCTGTTTCAAATTTTTATTTCATTAGTAATTGACTTTGGTTTGCTGTGTGGATAATCCTGAATGGGTGACTGAGATGATGTTCCTGGAATTTCGTGCTGTGCAATTCAGCATAAAGCCCTCTCTTAGCATAGAAGTCGTCTTGCCCATAACATATGCAAGAACAGCAAAGAAATAATTCTTTTAACATTTTGGTTTTTAAATCTATTTTTACATAGAAATTTGCCGTCTTAATCACCTCACTGCTATATACATGCACTGAGCTATAAAAAAAAATTAGAATTTTTTTCACAGTGGGTATGGAAAGTTACTTCTCACTGAAAAAATAACCCTGCATAGTGCTCATCCTTTGTGCGTGCAGTTCTGTGCGTGGCTAGCGAGCGGCAGTGACCCCCTCCTGCCCAGCACGCCGTGCTGCCCTGTTACCCCTCATCTCCTCTGGGGATCAACAGCATCAGGCGCTACCCACAGAGTCAAGGACGTATAAAGATCTTGCCAGGATCGGGCCCCGAATTTTTGAAACGGTCTTGGTGTGACCTTCTGCTGTCGGTCACTCAATTAGCAAAATCTTAAATTTAACTACAGATATTGGCCAAGCGCAGCAGTTACGTAATGTTTTGTTTCCTCGGTTCAGAAGAACGCGCGAGAAGCTAATTCTCCCAATGTGGAAATACCATCATCATTTTACAAAGAAGGAAAGAGAGAGCGAGGTCAGGCTGTTTGCAGAACAACACTGCAAGTTAATGCACAGTCTTGATTGAAACCCCAGAATTCTTCCCAGGCTCGTGCTCTTTTCTTTATATCTCAAAACTTAATTGTACACTCACATTCAAGTTTTTGCATGCATAAATAATTGTGTGTGCAAATTTAGAATTTACTTTTCAAAACATTTTTCCCTCGGAAGCAATACAAGTGTCAAGTAAAAAAAAGGGATAAAAATAAAACTGACAGATGTGAGCAGTAATGACGTAATGGATGCTAAGCAGGATGGAATAAGAAAAGGTGTCGGGCTTCCCTCCCTCGGTGGCAGGGCCGGGGTCCCCCCCACCATGCCATAAATGGGGGACCCCCCTCGGCTGCCCACGGTGCGGTGCAGCGCTGCAGACATCCACTTAAAACCTCAGCTGGCGTAAGGTCCGCCGAGGGCAGGACCTGCCCCAAGGGGAAAGGACAGACCGAGGATGAACAGGGCAACCGCATTTCTCCTCGCCAGACAGACACTCGAGGGCACGGAGCTCCCGGCAGCGCTGCTCGCGAGCCCTGATCCTTCATGTTAATTAGAAAACAATTAAAAAGCAATTTAAACAAACTGTTTAAATAAGGGCATAAGTAAGAGCGAAGCCACTTTTTGCCCAAGATAAGTGTACTTCATGCATTTGCAGGAAGTAAACAGAAATAATCATCTTGGTACTGAAGCACAAGCCGTGCCCAGCCCCGAGGACGGGCAAAGCCGCGATGCTCCGGCTGGGGCGCGGGGGGGCTCGCGAGCACCATCAGCGGGGCGGCCCGCACCGCGCTGCTCGGCAGCGGCTCAGGGCGAACTGTGCAGCTGCTCTGCTGGAAATAGCACTTCTGCCCTACCGAAGTAACCAGCGTCCCGATGCTGAGGTGTCTAAAGAATTTGGATAACCGTCCACAGCCACGATCGAAATGACTGAGTCCAGCTGTCTTGCAAATCTCAGCAAATACTGAGTATTGCCGTGCCAGATAGCGGCTCGGTGTCTGCATTCCCCGCAGGGGGATCCCACTCGTTGGGCGGGTGGCTGGCAGCTGGGCTCCCTGCCCCGGAGCTCGGATGGTGCCAGCAGTCAGGGGGACGTGCTGAAACGCCCTGCTGCCAGCCCCTGCCCGAGGAGAAGGGTTTGGAACCCCCTCACCGGAGGCACGGAGCGGCTGAGGCACGCTGTGGGAAGGGCAGGGGCACAGCTGCAGGTGGGCAGCCCTGGCATGGTGGGACAGACCTGGCGGCCCCTCTCCAGCTTCGCTGCCCTGAGCTCGGGCCCTGGGGTGGCCAGCAAGCCCCAGCACGGGGACGAGCACTGCCCACAGCGGGGGCGCTGGCCCTCTCCTCAGGTTTGGCGACACCCGCAATCCCTAAAAATCCAACTGCAGAAAGTGAAACCTTCAGCAGCAACATCTCTGCTCCACCTGCACTCCGGGTGGTGGTTGATAGGGCCCAGCACGAAAAAAAAATGGTTAATTAATATTCTCGCTACCTGTTAGAAGTAGCAGAGCAGGTGCCAAATTCAATCACAGGATCAGGTTTGAATGTTCAAAAAAAAAGAAAGGGGCAATTTTAAAGAGAAGACAGGCTGCGGCCAACTTTGCATGCCCATTTTTCTATGCAATCAGGTGTAAAACTCATATTTAAGACTGTAAATTTACATATGCAGGAAGTCTGGTTTGGGGAAAAAGATTAGATATACTTACCCTGGATGGACTAGGATGTCCTGTATTCCCCCAGGACCCTGAGCTAGTTCTGTCTTCTACATCTAGGGACAAAAAAGTTCTTTAGGCTTTATTGCAATAATTCTTTCCTTTTGTATAGGCACTTTTAAATTAATGTTTCAAATTAATCTCCTGTTGCCTTTAATTAAGAATCAGGCACAGGGCTACTACGATGGTAGTGGCTTCTGACCCACTGCTTAAATTAACTCATTTAAATTCACAGCAGAAATGAACCGGACCCTCAGGAACCTGAGGTTTGAACATAAAAATTACTTCAGCGGCTCCGTGTTTCTCGACACTTTAAAAAGTGACTGCACTGTACCAGTTAAAATCCTATCAAAATCTCCAGCACAAAAATAGGTATTGTCAAACAATAAAAAGAAAACATGATAAAACAGACAAAACCTAGAAGTTAAAGTAAGGCATGTTTGGGATAAACGTACCTCTCATCACCTCACCTAGGCTTCTACTGCAGAACAGCACTTACGCACGTATTTGTATCTCAAGGAGATAAAAGCACATTCCTAAAGCCAAGCACAGAGGGGGTATTTCTGTCTTTTCCTCTATCATTTGACAGAAAATTCACTGCAACCATTGGGTGGGATCACTCCAGTAGTTTCAGACAGCCCGTTTCAGGGTGTTTTTAATCATTTTCCCTCCTCCGTTTGAGAGGCTATCTCTAGGAATAACACATCCCATTGCACATGTGCTAGGACGTGGTGAAACCTGCCGTTTAGGGTATGGACCAAAGAACCAGGACTCCTACGAGTTCCTCTTAACTTTGTGACAAAACACAGGAGTGTCTCAGCCTGCCATTTTCTTGTGTGCATTTGATCTGTGCACCAAAGGGACAGCTTGACAGTCACCCCAGGAAGGAGAGGTGAGCTTCGCTAGTCAGCCACTGCAGCGTGCTTCCAGATCACTGGATACAAGAGGCTAGCTAGACCGCAACGCTACATCTTCCTTGACAAAAATCAGGTCATAGACACGTTTTGCATATGAACGCTCTCCATGTTTCACAATTCCCAGTATTTCTTCTCTGATGCAACTATTTTTATTCCACTTTCCCCAAGTCTTTCCCAGTACTGTCCATTAACCCAGTTTATTGTTATTAAAACTTCCTTGTAACACTGAATGTTCTTTCAAATGGGGCCAAAAAAAAAAAAACCAACCCGGAAAAGACTCACACGGTAACTTCTTCCAAAGACACCCCAACGGCAGGGGGCTGTCCCTCTCGGGTACCCTAAGCAGTGACATGCACCTCCGGGCTGGCCGCGCTACTTCCGAGGTTGCGCCAAGCCCAGGAACTCAACTCCGCTGACACTGAAAGCAGAAGACCCTCTGCAGTGCACTCAAGTATGCTGGGATACGCTTGCACAACCGCTGCCATCACGAAACCTTTACTAAAACGAGTTGGGAGTCTCCCGAGACTTTCCACTTGGCTAAAAACTTAATGGCTAAACATAACACCGGTTCAGCGAGGCACTTGCGCACAGGTTTAATGGAAGCCTGTGAATAATTCCACTGAAATCATAGTTCACTCTCCTGTTAATTCAAGTAAATGAGATCACTCGTGCTTAACGTTAAGCACATCCTTTAGTACATCGATGGACTGGACCATACTGCTTAAATCCATTACTTTTTTACTTACAGTATGTTAAATATCAGGAAATGTGATTGACATTGATCTATAACAGTATTATTGCACATTTCAGTGCTATTTTCCAACTTACTCCTGTGTGCCCACTAGCATCCTAATGAAATAATAATATTGCTTGCCTTTTGCCATGCACAAACAGTAGCTTTAATCTAATTGGAAAAAAATACGTATTTGGTCTTGCTGGCCAGAGAAACTTTCTCAGAGTGCTGCCAAAGACTAGGCACACGAGCAGCTCCCTTTCCACCCGTGCATTGGTTCATCCAGACTTCTAGGATCAGTGGGGACTTCAGTTGTCTGAGAAACAGATATGGTCATTAGCACTTTAAAATACAGGTGCTGTGACCAAAGCTGGTCGATTTCCAAGATTATAAAAAAAAAAAAACACACCACAAAAAACAACCAAAAAACTCCATACCACACATTTGTATAGTTTAATACTTTCCCCCAATTACAGTTCCTATTATCTCAATAACAGATGAATGTGTTAATAGCACAAGACACTCTTAGGTAAATATTTAATTAAGCTCCAGAAAAAGAAAGAAAATGTGTATCATTTACCTGACAGATCAGATCAACCATTCTATTAGGTTAATTAGGCATATTTTTAAAAATCATTTGTGTTATGTAACAGGCAATTAACTCTGTAGAGCCCCGATCCATTGCCTGCTAAAAATCAGTGGATATTATCCCATTGACTTTGATGGGCATCGTCCCACCCTCGAGCATAGCTTCCAAAATCCATCAGCGAGCAGAACAGCTCAGTCCTCGGGAACAGCACCTGGGGGACTGGGCAACAGCTCTGAGCCCACCTCCAGAAGGTGATAAACCCAGCACCTGCAGGCTCGGCTTCAGCCCCGTCCTGCTCGCAGCCCTCTTGTGCAGACCCACGAGCCCACTCGCGCGCACGTAAAACAGAGGGTAAAGGACAGAGCAACACCAGCAAAGGGCTCTGCACGGTGCTGCACGGGGCATCGCCTGGGGAGCTCTGCTTTCATTAACAAGGAGGCATTATTCACATAGCTCCCTGTTAGAAACTTCATTTATTAACATACTTACTTTCTGTAAAAGTCAGCTAATCTAAAATAATACATGTTGTCAAGGCCTCCTACACTGGCTCACGGCCAGTGCTAGGAGCAAGATTTACATGCCAATAAAGGTTCTCAGACTGCTATACTGTACATTTTTATTTACGTTTTAAGAATATAGATGCTGTGGTCTTGGGCACGCTAATGCGTCACCTAAAATAACACATTTCAGGGCTGTGTTCTGAGCAGTAATCCTTCTCTTGCACTCAGTACCCAGGAGGGACAGCAGAGAGGGAAGGGGGCATCCCCACATCAGCCTGGGCAAGGGGTGCACTCGGTTGCTGAGCTTTTGGGACTCCACCACCCAGCTCCAGCTGAGAATCCACCATCATGCCTTCAACACATGCTGGGCTGCTACACGCGATTTAACCCACTCATGGTGCTTCTTCTGAGTCATGTTCTTCAAAACCCTTTTTTTCAGACACAGGGAAGGGGTGCCACGCTCCCGAAGATGCCCAGTACTTTTCAGCAGCACATGGAAATACTGGCTTCATGACCAACCGCTGGACGGCCCCAATGATGTGAAAGGAACCATCTACATGCTTACAGTTAAACATATGTTTTTGTGGTGAGCTGAATTCCTGCCCAGCTGTCCTTTCTGGCACTCTTTGCTGCATTATCCCTACCTCTCCCTCGAGCCAAGGGTGCCAATGACCAGAGGGGACTATCAGATGCTTAATATAACACAGGAACAACACATACCTTGGGGCTGGGGTATTCCTCATTTCTGCAAACATCCCAGACCGAGTCTCTGGGCACACCCGATACTAACCCAGAGAGAAAGTCCTGCCTAGGCAGGGGGAAGCACTACCAAGTGGGAAGGACACTCCTGGGCAGGCAGAAGGACAGCTTTTGGGGATGTATCAGGGGAAGACAGACATTAAAGGTACGCAGACATCATTCCACATACCCAAGCATACTATATCGGGCAGAGATTAGGAGACTAACCTCACAGAATAATTCTGTAAGATTTGCTTAGACTCCAAAATTTTTAGCCATCTCAAATTTGGCTGAACATCCCTCACCTTTAGCTTGCTTTAAATCTGAGCCCATATGATGCTCAAGTTCTTCCACCAAAGTTAAAAGTTCTGGACTCTGATGAGAAAATGACAAGCAAGGGCCCTTGTGCCTTATCTTCAGGGGTCGCGTCTTAGCTTTCGACCAATTTTCTTTGTATTTAGACTTAAATGTGCAAACTACACTATATTACTCTGCAAAACATCAATGAGAAGGCTTAATTAAGTAACACTGACAGATAAATCCATTTCTTTCGCAGTAATCAAATCAAAGCAGGTTGACATAACACAGGAACTTAATACAGTTATTCCCTTGTAATTGGAAAAAGGCCCTTTACTTCTCATTAAAGCAATCTTCTGGGTATTGGCATAATAAGAAGGCTCAGGGCTTTAATACTGCCCTATAAAAGCCCCAAGATACAGACCCCTTAAGCAAACATGCCAGATTATCTAATTCCTTGATCATAGTGGAACATGTAGTTATTGTTTTAAACTACTAATTCTTTATCTCAGCTACAGACAAAAAGAAGGAAGTCAGTCTAAAACACGTATCATGAAGCTCTATAAAAATGCAAGCTCTAGCTGGGGAAAAAGATGCATTTTCAAAAATACCCTAGATCTTCAGCTGGGAAATTGAGAGCTTAGCAAGATGAAAATTGTTCTTGCACATAAACAGTTATGAAGAGCAAATAATAAAATACAGTTTTATTGCATTTGTGAATTTGCTGGAAAATATTTTTTCAATGGAAGCAGAGCTGGCCAAAGCCTTCCGCTGTTGCTGTGCTGGTACCATGGCAGTCTCCCACCGTCCCCGCTATCACCACGCAGAAGGCAGCAACTGCCTGCAAACCCTCAGAGAGGCTCAACAACTTCTTCAGCCTGTGAGCAGATTCGGAGTGTCACCGGAGCGGGTTCAGCGCCCGTGTGATGGCTTATGCCGTGCACGGAGCTCTCAGCCGTTCCGTGTGCCTGTGGCCATGAAGGGGTCACGTGGTGGGGTACAACACCGGAGTGCTCGATGAACAGATGGGCGTCTGCACCTTGCATGCGTGCTCCTTGCCTCTTTTCATCTAGCTTACAAGTATTCTCTTAGTGTGATCCAGTGAGCTATCAACAGCCAAAAGCCAGCTAACTTCTGTCCCCCTCGAACCAGCCCTCAGATCAACAGCACTTCTCCCTCGGCAGAAAAAAAAGAAACCTCACTAATTACTACCTAGTTAATCTACCCTAGTTTACTAACAATTTAGTATGACAGATATTGTAAGAAGGTTTGTAAGCTCCTA